ATCCGCCTCAAGAACAGCTGCCCAGTAACAAAAGTTATTTTTCACGGATTAGCTATATTGCTTTAAGACTCAAAACTGTGTCAATTTCGGTCTTTGTGAGTATACTCTTAACATAGTCGGATTTGTCTTTAATAAGCATAAAACGCACGCCAGTATAATGAACACAGGATCCGTGCACTGGCTCTTAAAGTGACAGCAACCATATGTGTCGGTCATTAATTTTGTCGTATAAACAACAAAACAGAGCTTTAAGTTTAAGGAATCAGGATTGATAGCCTATGTGTTTAATTTATTTAGGACTAAAATACTATCCAATGTTATTTTCCATTTGATTACTTTATTCAGTTTCTGTCTATGAATATTTAGGGCCCGAGCACTAACAGTGCGAGGACCCTATTGAAACTGTTAGGGTTATTTTTTTTTTTTTTTTTCTGCAAAGTAAGCGCCATTTTCGGGGCCGCAACATGCTCAAAAACTCACCAAATTTGGCACGCATGTCAGGACTGGTGAAAAATTTCGTATTTTGTGGGTTTCGCAGATGGGCGGGGCAAAATGGCACGCTAGCGCCACCTAGAAAATTGGAAAAAATTAGCCCCTCGTCCACGTTCAACCTACATGCACGAAATTTGGTGGGGACGTGTATCATATCAAGACGCACAAAAAAGCCTCAAGAACCCATACCATAAACTCGACAGGAGGTCCGCCATTTTGAATTTGGCGGCCATTTTTGGACGATTTACAGACTCCGTACTTTAACGAACTCCTCCTAGGGATTTAGTCGGATCGACTTAAAATTTCTGCTGTGCCTTCTAAAGGCATTGACGATGTAAAGTTGTGCTATCTGCGCGTTTTCGTCGATGGGCGTGTCCGTGGCGTCGAAGATTCGCCATGAAACAGGAAGTTGTAGTAACTTGGCTGTAAATGCCCAGATCTGCACGAAATTTTACACATTTGACAAGAGTCACGCCCTGAACAAATCTACATGCCGACATTCACCCACAGTCATAGCGCCACCTGCTGGCAACAGGAAGTGACCTTTAACGAAGCAGCCCCCGCTGCTTGTTTGACCGACATGTACGAAATTTCTGTGGTACATCTACCATGACCAGACGCACAAAAAAGCCTCAAGAACCCATACCCTAAACTCGACAGGAAGTCCGCCATTTTGAATTCGGCGACCGATTTGGGACGATTTACACACTCCGTACTTTAACGAACTCCTCCTAGGGAATTAGTCAGATCAACTTCAAATTTCTGCTGTACCTTCTAAAGGCATTGACGATGTAAAGTTGTGCTATCTCCGCGTTTTCGTCGATGGGCGTGTCCGTGGCGTCGATGATTCGCCATGAAACAGGAAGTTGTAGTAACTTGGCTGTAAATGCCCAGATCTACACGAAATTTTACACATTTGACAAGAGTCCCGTCCTGAACAAATCTACATGCCGACATTCACCCACATTCATAGCGCCACCTAGTGGCAAGAGGAAGTGACATTTAACGAAGCAGCCCCCGTCGCATGTTTGACCGACATGTACGAAATTTCTGTGGTACATCTACCATGTCCAGACGCACAGAAAAGTCTCTTGGAGCGATGCCCTAAACTCAACAGGAAGTCAGCCATTTCTAATTTTACCGCCATTTTTGGATGATTTACTCATTACGTACTTTAACTAACTCCTCCTAGGGCTTTAGTCGGATCGCCTTCAAATTTCTGCTGTGCCTTCTAAAGGCATTGACGATGAAAAGTTGTGCTATCTGCGCGTTTTCGTCGATGGGCGTGTCCGTGGCGTCGATGATTCGCCATGAAAAAGGAAGTTGTAGTAACTTGGCTGTAAATGCCCAGATCTGCACGAAATTTAACACATTTGACAAGAGTCCCGCCCTGAACAAATCTACATGCCGACATTCACCCACAGTCATAGCGCCACCTCCTGGCAACAGGAAGTGACCTTTAACGAAGCAGCGTAGCAAATGCACATCCGCACTGGCTGAGCTGCAGAAAATGCAACACGGCTGCCTCAGATCCCGACGTGCTACAGGTGCGAGGGCCCGCCCATCGCTGCTTGCAGCTTTAATTTCTTTTTTCTTTTTTCTGCAAAGTAAGCGCCTTTTTCGGGGCCGCAACATGCTCAAAAAGTCACCAAATTTGGCATGCATGTCAGGACTGGTGAAAAATTTCGTATTTTGTGGGTTTCGCGGATGGGCGGGGCAAAATGGCTCGCTAGCGCCACCTACAAAATTGGAAAAAATTAGCCCCTCATCCACGTTTAACCTACATGCACGAAATTTGGTGGGGATGTGTATCATATCAAGATGCACAAAAAAGCCTCAAGAACCCATACCCTAAACTCGACAGGAAGTCCGCCATTTTGAATTTGGCGACTGATTTCGGACGATTTACACACTCCGTACTTTAACGAACTCCTCCTAGGGATTTAGTCGGATCAACTTCAAATTTCTGCTGTGCCTTCTAAAGGCATTGACGATGTAAAGTTGTGCTATCTGCGCGTTTTCGTGGATGGGCGTGTCCGTGGCGTCGATGATTCGCCATGAAACAGGAAGTTGTAGTAACTTGGTTGTAAATGCCCAGATCTGCACCAAATTTTACACATTTGACAAGAGTCCCGCCCTGAACAAATCTACATGCCGACAATCACCCTCAGTCATAGCGCCACCTAGTGGCAACAGGAAGTGACCTTTAACGAAGCAGCCCCCGTCGCATGGTTGACCGACATGTACGAAATTTCTGTGGTACATCTACCATGTCCAGACGCACAGAAAAGTCTCTTGGAGCGATGCCATAAACTCAACAGGAAGTTGGCCATTTCTAATTTTACCACCATTTTGGGATGATTTACTCATTACGTACTTTAACGAACTCCTCTTAGGGATTTAGTCGGATCGACTTCAAATTTCTACTGTGCCTTCTAAAGGCATTGACGATGAAAAGTTGTGCTATCTGCGCGTTTTCCTCAATGGGCGTGTCCGTGGCGGCGATGATTCGCCATGAAACAGGAAGTTGTAGTAACTTGGCTGTAAATGCCCAGATCTGCACCAAATTTTACACATTTGACAAGAGTCCCGTCCTGAACAAATCTACATGCCAACATTCACCCAGAGTCATAGCGCCACTTAGTGGCAACAGGAAGTGACCTTTAACGAAGCAGCCCCTGCCGCATGTTTGACCGACATGTACGAAATTTCTGTGGTACATCTACCATGTCCAGACGCACAGAAAAGTCTCCTGGAGCGATGCCCTAAACTCAACAGGAAGTCAGCCATTTCTAATTTTACCGCCATTTTAGGATGATTTACTCCTTACGTTTTTTAACTAACTCCTCCTAGGGAATTGGTCGGATCGACTTCACATTTCTGCTGTGCCTTCTAAAGGCATTGACGATGTAAAGTTGTGCTATCTGCGCGTTTTCGTCCATAAGCGTGTCCGTGGCGTCGATGATTCGCCATGAAACAGGAAGTTGTAGTAACTTGGCTGTAAATGCCCAGATCTGCACCAAATTGTACACATTTGACAAGAGTCCCGCCCTGAACAAATCTACATGCCGACATTCACCCACAATCATAGCGCCACCTGCTGGCAACAGGAAGTGACCTTTAATTAAGCAGCGTAGCAAATTCACAGCCGCACCGGCTGAGCTGCAAAATATGCAACGCGGCCGCCTCACACTCCGACGCGCTACAGGTGCGAGGGCCCGCCCATCGCTGCTTGCAGCTTTAATTCTTAATATCTTTATTTGTATCTTTATTGTATTGTATTTATTTGTGCAACTTTTTAATTGAACAATTTAAATCAAGCCTTGCATTGTGTAAATTCTTAACAACATTACCCCATTGTAAAAATGCAATGAGTGCAAAAATTTAGGCAAGATAAATTTAATAATTTTGTTTGGCAAAAACGAAATTCAGGCCCTGAAGACTTTTGTTTTCCTGTCCTGGACTCGGTCTTGACTCGGACTCGAACCTTTTTGGACTCGGTCTTGACTTGGACTCGACTAGTCCTGGTCTTGGACTCGACAAAGGTGGTCTTGACTACAGCGCTAGTAGATGATGCAGTGAGTTATATACGAGGAGGCGGGACTCCCTGATCGCTGTAGCGATTGGCCTTTCAGTCTGTAATTGGTGCTTCCTCTCCATATTTAACATTAAGATTTAGAACTGTTTTGATTTATTATACAAACTGTTATTAATGTACTTTTAGATGAGAAAGAAAAATGATTTGTCCATGATAAACCTCTGATATTACTTGCATACTAGTCATAATCTGAAAATATAGTACACATGCAAGATAAGCTTTAGTGGTGACCTGTTGATATACAAGGTACATTGCTAATCTCTATACCCTACACACTAGGGTAAAAGCACAAGAACACAAAGAATGAAATGGCGACTATATATGTAGACAATAGTTTTATTAGTTTAAATTAGTCAAAAATGTGTACTTGACACGACTGCTAAGTTTTCGCTCATCTCCTCACACCCAGGCCACTTCCTCTTTAATACTTAAACTCTATTTATACATTGATTTATTAAACACACCACACTTCTTCTTTACATTTCCTTGTATTTGTACATACATACCTGTACATACCATCTATTGTCTATTTTTTGGTATATTGTTGTTATCTAATTTTTGTTTATTGTGTATTTTACCTATACTGCTTTTTAATTGTAATATATGACAACAAACTGTACAAGACATGTATCAAAATATCATTGACTGACAAATTTATTAAAATAGCTTTTTATGTAGATAATATCTGTGATGATGGGGTGGTGATGGCGCAGTGGATTAGACACATGCCTTTGGTGTGAGAGACCCGGGTTCGAATCCACTGTTAGACACCAATGTGTCCCTGAGCAAGACACTTAACCCCTAGTTGCTCCAGAGGCGTGCGACCTCTGACATATATAGATATTGTAAGTCACTTTGGATTAAAGCATCAGCTAAATGAATAAATGTAAATGATAAGCCAGTGTGTAAGAGCCAGTGCAAACCACTGAAGCGAGAGTGATGATGTGTGCCAGTGGTCATGTGATCATGAACCTTGTGTAGGAGCTGTTGCTGTAGTTCTGCTTGATGTCTTCTCAGAGTTTGATCTGCTGACTGGAGTCAGTGTTGTTGAAGAGACTGGAGCTGCAGAAGATGAATGTTCACACACATCACCTGTAGGACATTAACATTTATTAGCCTTGTAATTCCTATAACAGATCTCCAACATGGGCCATACTAGACTTTAATAGGCTCTTTTGATTTATGCAATATTCATCATCATCAACTTTTTATTTTAATAATGTTTTAGTAAATGCTGAAATTAACAGTAACTATTTAACTAACGATACCTTATCGTAAAGTGTTACTGATTTCATGATAGCGAACACTTTCATGCTTATAATTCATACATACAGTTTACAACATGTCTTTTTATCTTCAGTTGATTTCATTTAAGACTGTGGCTGAAGTCAAATTGTAGTTCTTGTGTTTCTCTGTCCTTTAATGATTCTGCTTGTTAACAGCAGGTGTTCATCACTAATGCTCAATCATGCTCAACAACCCCAGTAAACTCACCAGTATTTTATTGTAATATTGCAGGCATCTCTATTTCCTCTGGGTGCTTCAAGTTCTTCCTCCCTGCAAAATAAAAGCATTGACTGTCCTCTGGTATAATTCAAAATAAAAGCATTGACTGTCCTCTCGTATAATTTAAAATAAAAGCATTGACTGTCCTCTTATATAATTCAAAATAAAAGCATTGACTGACCTCTCGTATAATTTAAAATAAAAGCATTGACTGACCTCTCGTATAATTTAAAATAAAAACATTGACTGTCCTCTTATATAATTCAAAATAAAAGCATTGACTGACCTCTGGTATAATTCAAAATAAAAGCATTGACTGTCCTCTGGTATAATTCAAAATAAAAGCATTGACTGACCTCTCGTATAATTTAAAATAAAAGCATTGACTGACCTCTCGTATAATTCAAAATAAAAGCATTGACTGTCCTCTGGTATAATTCAAAATAAAAGCATTGACTGTCCTCTCGTATAATTCAAAATAAAAGCATTGACTGACCTCTCGTATAATTCAAAATAAAAGCATTGACTGTCCTCTGGTATAATTCAAAATAAAAGCATTGACTGTCCTCTGGTATAATTCAAAATAAAAGCATTGACTGTCCTCTCGTATAATTCAAAATAAAAGCATTGACTGTCCTCTTATATAATTCAAAATAAAAGCATTGACTGACCTCTCGTATAATTTAAAATAAAAACATTGACTGTCCTCTTATATAATTCAAAATAAAAGCATTGACTGACCTCTGGTATAATTCAAAATAAAAGCATTGACTGACCTCTGGTATAATTCAAAATAAAAGCATTGACTGTCCTCTGGTATAATTTAAAATAAAAGCATTGACTGACCTCTCATATAATTCAAAATAAAAGCATTGACTGTCCTCTGGTATAATTTAAAATAAAAGTATTGACTGTCCTCTCGTATAATTTAAAATAAAAGCATTGACTGTCCTCTTATATAATTCAAAATAAAAGCATTGACTGACCTCTGGTATAATTTAAAATAAAAGCATTGACTGACCTCTCGTATAATTTAAAATAAAAACATTGACTGTCCTCTTATATAATTCAAAATAAAAGCATTGACTGACCTCTGGTATAATTCAAAATAAAAGCATTGACTGTCCTCTGGTATAATTCAAAATAAAAGCATTGACTGACCTCTCGTATAATTTAAAATAAAAGCATTGACTGACCTCTCGTATAATTCAAAATAAAAGCATTGACTGTCCTCTGGTATAATTCAAAATAAAAGCATTGACTGTCCTCTCGTATAATTCAAAATAAAAGCATTGACTGACCTCTCGTATAATTCAAAATAAAAGCATTGACTGTCCTCTGGTATAATTCAAAATAAAAGCATTGACTGTCCTCTGGTATAATTCAAAATAAAAGCATTGACTGTCCTCTCGTATAATTCAAAATAAAAGCATTGACTGTCCTCTTATATAATTCAAAATAAAAGCATTGACTGACCTCTCGTATAATTTAAAATAAAAACATTGACTGTCCTCTTATATAATTCAAAATAAAAGCATTGACTGACCTCTGGTATAATTCAAAATAAAAGCATTGACTGTCCTCTGGTATAATTCAAAATAAAAGCATTGACTGACCTCTCGTATAATTTAAAATAAAAGCATTGACTGACCTCTCGTATAATTCAAAATAAAAGCATTGACTGTCCTCTGGTATAATTCAAAATAAAAGCATTGACTGTCCTCTCGTATAATTCAAAATAAAAGCATTGACTGACCTCTCGTATAATTCAAAATAAAAGCATTGACTGTCCTCTGGTATAATTCAAAATAAAAGCATTGACTGTCCTCTGGTATAATTCAAAATAAAAGCATTGACTGTCCTCTCGTATAATTCAAAATAAAAGCATTGACTGACCTCTCGTATAATTTAAAATAAAAGCATTGACTGACCTCTCGTATAATTCAAATAAAAGCATTGACTGTCCTCTCGTATAATTCAAAATAAAAGCATTGACTGTCCTCTCGTATAATTCAAAATAAAAGCATTGACTGACCTCTCGTATAATTTAAAATAAAAACATTGACTGTCCTCTTATATAATTCAAAATAAAAGCATTGACTGACCTCTCGTATAATTCAAAATAAAAGCATTGACTGTCCTCTCGTATAATTCAAAATAAAAGCATTGACTGTCCTCTCGTATAATTCAAAATAAAAGCATTGACTGTCCTCTCGTATAATTCAAAATAAAAGCATCGACTGTCCTCTCGTATAATTCAAAATAAAAGCATTGACTGACCTCTCGTATAATTCAAAATAAAAGCATTGACCGACCTCTCGTATAATTCAAAATACAAGCATCGACTGTCCTCTTATATAATTCAAAATAAAAGCCTTGTGTGTGTTTATCATGATTGCAGATGTTCAGATCAGATGAGTGTGAATCTTCAGAGTGTGTGCGGCTCAAACTCACCAGCTCTTCTTGCACAGATGATCTGAAGAAGAATCACAGTAGGAGCAGCAAACAGTGCAATCTCAACAATACTCACAATCACTGCAGGAAACATGAGAGGAAGAAGAAGAGAAACTGGACATGACTGAAGTCAAGGGTCTTCATCTATCAACAGTTATTGATGAAGCATTTACAGACTGATAGTGTAATTGTGGCGAGGGGGCGTGTTTCGCAAAGTCTACAGCGGGAGAGAAAGGGCGGAGCCGCACAGTGAGTAAGTAGGTCAAATGCAGATGATAAACACCTGTGTCTGATTGCAGTAATTGCTGTGGAGAGACTGCATATAAGCAGGCAAGATTGAGAGAGAGTGGGAGAGAGTTGGACTGGGACTCAAGGATCTGCTGGCCATAAAGAGTTGTAGTTTATCTGCTGTATTACTACATTAACATGGTGAACGCGCTACTGTGCACCCTCTTCTTTTGTTTATTTTCTGTTCGTTTTAATAAAACCTGAGACCCATTCACGCCGACCCTGTCTTCTAACTTCTACACCCACCGAGCCTCATCACACTGGTGCCGTAACCCGGGAAGGAATAAGAACGCCGCCGCCATCATGCAGACCCCGTCAGGAATAGCATTTGTGGATAGCATCCAGCCGCTCGCGGGTCTTCATCAGGAACAACATTGAGCTCTTCTGGCTTTAAAAGAGGAACAGGACCAGTGCTTTGAATTGCTCCTCTGAAGTCAGCAAGAAGACCGCGAGCTGGATGGACCGGGAGATTCGGGTCATCCCCTCTCCAGCTGCGGCCTCGACCCTGCCACTACCTCTCAACAAGATGGGCCCCCAGAATGATCCAGAGGCCTTCTTGGACCTGTTTGAGAGGTCTGCCGAGGCCCGGGGATGGCCTTCAGCGGACTGGCCGGCTTATTCCCCTGCTGTCTGGAGAAGCGCAGCTAGCCGCACAGTAACTGCCAGTCCAGAATCACCTGGTCTATGAAGATCTTATGCGCGCCATACTTCAGCTGGTCGGCCGGACGCCAGAACAGTACCGCCAGAGGTTCAGGACACTGGGCCTCGAAGAGTCCTGTCGGCCCTTCGTTATGGCACAGCAGCTCCGGGACTCCTGCCGCAAATGGCTGATGGCCGGCAGAAGCGACGTCGAGGGAGTCATCGACAAGGTGGTACAGAAGCAGTTCGTGGCGCAGCTCCCGAAGCGGACAGAGCAATGGGTCCAGTACCACCGCCCGACATTGCCGACCCAGGCCATCCAACTGGTGGAGGACCAGATGGTGGCGTGCCCCAGGAGCGGCGAACCCCTGCCATCTGCTTCTCTCTCCTCTCCCCCCATTACCCCCACTCCTCTCTCTAAACCTGTTCCCCCTCCCAGGTCTCGTGGGGGGCTTATGCCCCAGCCATCGACAAGATGGAGAACGGGGACCCCAGCAGAGCTTCCTAGGGTCCCTCCTCGGGGAACGGCTCCCTCCACTGCCACTGCTCTCTCCACGCCAATTCCTTGACCCGCTTACTGCCACTGGGCCAGATACCAGTGAGTGTCAAGGGGGGTACATATCAGGCTTTGGAGGATTCAGGGTGTAACCAAACCTCCATTGATCAAAGCCTGATTCTACCTGGGGCATTGGATAATAGCCGCTTGGTTAAAGTACGGTGTGTGCACAGGGTGGTGACTTATCCAATATTGTCCATGGGAATTCAATTTAGGGGTCAAAAACATAGGGTTGAGGTGGCCGTTAGCCCGCACCTCCGCTAATTCTGGGGACTAATTGGCCTGCCTTAAGAACATTATTGGGGAATTTGTGTGCGGATGCCTCTTGGGGAAACAGAATAAGGATAGGAGGTAGAGGTTCAGGTGGGAGAAGCTGAGCTGGTGCCACTGCAGGGGAACAGAGAGCTCTAGAGAGGACCATCCTGAACGAGCGCGATGACTTTCCCCTGGAGCAGTCCCAGGATGATACGCTGAAACATGCTTTTGACCAGGTCCACCTCAATCGACAGCCAGCTCCTTCAGTCAGACCAAACGCTCTCTTATCCTTATTTTTCAATTTTAAAAGATAAGTTGTATCGGGTGACCCCAAGTCTACAGCGGGAGAGAAAGTGTGGAGCCGCACAGTGAGTAAGTAGGTCAAGTGCAGATGATGAACACCCGTGTCTGATTGCAGTAATTGGTGTGGAGAGACTGCATATAAGCCGGCGAGATTGAGAGAGGGTGAGAGAGAGTTGGACTGGGACTCAAGGAACTGGTGACTGAGAGGAAAGGATCTGCTGACCATAAAGAGTTGTTGTTTATCTGCTGTGTTACTACATTAACATGGTGAATGCGCTACTGTGCACCCTGTTTCTTTTGTTTCTTTTGTTTTAATAAAACTGCCTGTCTTCTACCTTCCACACCCACTGAGCCTCATCATAGTAATGTTATAAAGCTGTCAGTATAAATGAACGTGTCGTACCTCTGTATAATAATCCAGCAGTTTCTGAAGCTGTATCAGCTGGACCTGTGGATCACGTCTGTTAATTCAGTTCAACACACAACTACACAACATCAGCAACACACAATAATGGAGCTTCACATCAGAAATGATGAATAGGTGCACAAGTCTGTCATCATTTTCTTTCTTAACATTCAAATGCACAAATATTGAGGAATCCTTAGAGGTTGATGTGTGTTACAATGATCATGTGATTTTATAGAAATTGATATGGATATCTGTATTGATATCTTTACTAAATTATTTTGACATGATTGTTTAGGACTGACTGGATGAGAATGATGTGTCTGACATTTAATGACAGGTACTTTTTGCGGGATTGCAGGTGATGTACAAGAGAATGGAATTAGAAAGTTATGTAGATTACAAACTAAACACATTTAATGACAAAAAAAATGAAATGTGTGATCAGCTGTTCGAACAACTCCAGAGAAGATTCAGAAACTGATTCTAGAAAACTCCATGAGTCGGTGAAATGAGGATGATGTTCATACACACCTGGATTCAGAGAGCTTGCTGTGGTGTCTGGAGTCAGTGGTATTGCTGTAGTTGATGTTACAACTATTAAAAAGAAGATGGAAACAGAAATATGATTACACAATGTCAAGGCATTTATTTGACAAACTGCTGTAGTGTAGAGCTGCTCCGTATCTGGCTGCGTTTACACTTGGCATTAACATGCGACCTGTATCTGGATGTTGTCCACCACACATTGAAAAGACAAGTGTACACACACTTCTGATGGGAATGTTCTCGATCAGTGTGTCGAGGTTCGGAGTCGAGGACGCATTGTGATTGGATCTCAGTTTAATGTAATTCACAGGTGGACGTCATATAAATCCCCATATTCCCCTCGTCTCTCCAGGAATTGCTGCACGTAGATGTGTGGTTTCGCGATACAGTCGAGTGTGAAGTACATCGCAACTATATGGAAATGTTTGCTAAAGTTGCATTTTCCCCACCACAGCTGATGAAGGTCATGAGACCGAAACGTTGTTGAATAAAAAGTTTGTGATATGCAAGTTTGGATAGTATGCGGGATCTTCTCTTTGCCCCACCACAGCTGGCAACGTTCTCGGATACGTTTCTCTGTACCGTTTCCAGTACGCCATCTATCCACTTTATTAGTACTTGCAGACTCTTCGTCCTCATGTTGTGAGATTTGTATCCTGACTGAAACTGTTTTTAAAAGAAAACCCACCCGTTCAGGTCGACTTTACACCGGAGCCATGCGAGATCCGATCTGTTATCCAGATACAGAAGCCACTTGATGTGGACAGATGTAAACACACTGTGTCCTGATTGGCTTATGATTCGATCTGCTTGATTGGATCATGGTGATCACATGTTAATACGAAGTGTAAACGCAGCCTCTGTCACGTACAAAACACAGAAGCGCCTGCGAACTGACTCGAGGCCCACAGTGAAGAAAATTAACAGTTGAAATATTGAAATGAATAGTATGAAAGTCGTTTAAAGTCGGGCTGGGGTTATTCTTGTTGTTTGATAAACTAAAGATTGAGCCACTGTAGTCAATTTGACTATTTTAACGATGTCTTTAATAACTTTTCTGCCCAGGTAAAACCACTCACTTTCCAGATCACACACTAATTGTTGTTGTTGTTGGTTTTTTTTTAGCTTTTTTACTTGTTCCGGACAAGTGGGCAAGCATTAATGTCAATCCCTGATGATTCAGTATTAATCTATCATAGGAGTGGCGTGAGTTACACTAGCTGTATATTATGATTATTTCGCATCAGACAACAGACTGTACAAGACCAGTTATATGTGTCAAAACTCACCGACAAATCTGACTAAAGAGCTTTTTATGTAGATAATATCTGTGTGTGAGAGCCAGTGCAAACCACTGAAGCGAGAGTGATGATGTGTGCCAGTGGTCATGTGATCATGAACCTTGTGTAGGAGCTGTTGCTGTAGTTCTGCTTGATGTCTTCTCAGAGTTTGATCTGCTGACTGGAGTCAGTGTTGTTGAAGAGACTGGAGCTGCAGAAGATGAATGTTCACACACATCACCTGTAGGACATTAACATCATATCTTCACATTGATCATGACATGCAGTTTGTGTTCAATCATCACAGCTTACAGTGGCAGTAGTTGAGAAGAGAGATGTTACTGGATCATTTATTCCTGCTTTATATGAGAGTGAAACACAGTTGAGCTGCTTCCCATAAACCTTCAGCTTTCCTGAATGAAGGACATTATTAAGCCGTATAACTCCTAAAGCTGAACTCCTACATGGGTCATACTAGGCTTTAATAGATTTATGCAATATTTCATGGATGACCCATGTAGGAGGTTAATATTGGGAATTATAAGGATTTCTATGCAGTGTGACTTACTGTCCTATAATATTTTACAATTTCCAAACGTATGAAGTCATCATCAAGAGTAGAGCCAGTCTGTGGAAGTTTTCTCAAATCTGTCTTCTAACAGTGTTTCTCACCTGAATACTTGACAGTGTATGTGACTGACGTCTGGAGTTGATTTCTGTGAGTAAGCTGACATCTCCAATCTCTGTTGTTATCTTCATTCAGGAGTGTTGTAGTCAGAGTGATGATACAGTGATATTGATGTGATGATGATGATGATGATGATGATATCTGATATCTGGAGTCTGTCTTCAGATCAACACCAGCCTGATTCACCCACAACAGCTCAACTCCCTCAGAACGAACCCAATAATCACAGGAGTATCTACTATATGAATACAACTGACAGGAGAGAGTCACAGAGCGGCCTGGACTGATCTCAGCCTGTGAGGATGAAGATGATGATGATGATGATGATGATGATGATGGAGACACTGAAACTGAACACAAGACACAAATCACAGACTCTTCAATCATCATCTGAGTTTAATAAAGAATCTTCCCTTTTTAAATTGTCCATATAATCATAAACTTACCATGAAGAACATGCAGATAAACAGGTGCATCAGTTTCTGGTTGGTGATCTTGTCCGTTCACATATTGTCTGCAGGTGTATAATCCATAATCTTCTTCTGTGACGTTCTTGATGTTCAGAGAGCAGTCAGACTCCAGACTCAGTCTCTCATGTCTCTCTGTGTCTTTATTCTTTATCCCTAAATTAATCAGTTCAACTGTTGAATGACTGAAGCTGCTGTAGGTCCATGTAGTTGATTTGCAGTCAGAAAGAGTTTTATTACAGGACAGACGGACATTTCTACCAGAACTGATGAACACATGATCATAATCCACTCCACTGGTGCCTGAAACACAGTAGATCTCAGTGATCATTATGATATTTATTAATACATTAATACATTCATGAATGCATAACAAGCAGAAGATTACAGTCATACAGTATTTCTCCGGTAACGCTTTACAATAAGGGTTTATGAATAATCATGTACTAATACCTGAATTAATACGACAATTCACCATGACGTCACAACAATAATAGACGTTCTTCCGGGTGGCAAAAGCCGAAGCGTCCCTATGGCAACACTAGTAAATTGCATGGAGGGAGACACACCGCCGGCAGAAGCCTAATCTACATTTCAACAGTTGATTCAAAAACAGACGTGGTGGAAATTCAGACATAGTTAACATGATCATTAGAGCTTAGATTCTTTGATCTAGAGACGTGCACTCCCGGCGGCGCGGGACTAGATCTGATGGCCGAGTGCGGGCGGTAATGCACTCTGTGTGTGCGGATTGCGGGAGAATAAAACGATTTGCGGGACTCCCGCAAACTAGAAATATCTATGAATAAAACAAATAAAAATTAATACATTTGTATTCATCAGCTGTTTTCAGAAAAACAACAAGTACAACTAAAACAAAATAGAAATGACTTACATGGCAGAGTTTCTTTTTATAACGTGACTGCAGCGATGAGCGATGTAGCCAATCACAGACATATGTGTTGATTTATTGAACGCATTGGCCAATCAGAAGCATTTACGATGAAGAAGCATTTACTCACCGCTCAAAAGAACGTAACATAGAAAGTAATAGAAATAACTAAGTTAGTTGAGAACGTCAGTTATATAACGACCCACGTATTAAAATGGTTGGGTTTAAATCGGGCTCAGGCTCATAATTAGAAGACGACATGCACTTTTGACGACGTCCACTCGCTTTAACCTCCTCACCCACAGGTTCTGCTGGATAGATTTACTTTTTTTCTGAAGGAAATCGATAAAAAAATCTACACCTTTTGCTGTATATCTGGTGGCGCAACCCCAAACACAACATATTTTCGCCATAGATTCAACTTTGATCAACAACAATGATTTTAACTGTGTAACTGTTCAGTTGCCGGCTGGATCTCTTTAGTTAGTCAATGGAAGCCACTCGCGTTCTGCCACCCGGAAGTATCGCGGTGCCTATTGTTTACAAACATTCTGAAATGCCCTATACTTAATTCAGCATGATCTAATGATAATTAAAAGCAGAGGTGTAAAGTCCAGCTTCAGAAAGTAAAAGTCCTCCTCAGTATTTTGTTCAGTCACCTGGATTTGCTCATTATCAGATCTGCACAATATATCGAAATATCGCAAATGTATTTATCACAATATGCATATCGCAACAGCTTGCAATAACTGAGGTCATGCGCAAAAGACAAAGAGAAAATCACTCACTGCTGTTGGCTGAATAACTTCTGTAGTTTTGATAAGATTATATATAAATAATTTTTACTAAAAAACATTATATATTATATTTTAATTCTATTTATATAAGTAATTCATACAGTGAAAACTACACACTTATGCCACAGTAAAACATTTTCACAGTTTATTGTCACAAAAAGAAACATGTATTATATAATTTAAAGGGGTGGTAATGTATGATTTCACTTTTCTAACTTTAGTTGGTGTGTAATGTTCGAGCATAAACAACAGTATCAAAGTTACAACGCTCAAAGTTCAAGCAAAGGAAGATATTTGCTTTTAAAAAAGGACAACAACGAACGGCTGGTAGGGACTACACGATTTTCCTCCAGGGTTAGTGACATCAGCAACCCCAAAATGTCCATAAACCCTTCACGGGAGCTCTTGAAACCCCGCCTCCTGAAGCAGCTCATTTGCATTTAAAGGGCCAGACAAAAAACGGTGCATTTTTGCAAACCCTTTAACTTTAACATGCTGTATAAAAATATCTGTGGGGTATTTTGTGCTAAAGGGCGCTATTGGTCTTCACTGCATGACGTCACCAAAGTGTGGACTTTGAGTAAGTCCACAATCCGGAGTGTGTCATTTGGGACACAGCCTTATAGCTGGAGTCAGAGGCCACAAACTCACGGAGGCGATTGGGAATTCACAACACACTTTATTCCCCAGTTGATCTCCTGTAACTCTCTGTCAGACACGTTTGACCGTATACAGCGTTATTAACTAAACAAAATGACTTAAAAATGATTATCAGACAGAAATAACCCGCATGGTGTGATCGAGGCGCACATACAAAGCAGACCGTTCAACCGGGAGCGCGCAGCTCTTAAAGGGGCCACACCTTATTTCTACTCGCTACATCAAAAGGCAGTTTGATTCAGTAGTGCGGGAAGATGGTTTAGTTTAGGGGTGCTGTTTTTTTAGGTCACCACTTGTAAATAAGAAACAACATCAAATAAAACTCGTCAAAACACCACGAATTACAACAAGTGTATCGGTGAGAACTAAATGCTTCAAATAGCTACATGTAAATTAAATGAAAATTGAAAACTGTTATTCCCGTGTGCCTGGTTTGATTATGTTTATCCATAAATATTAATGAATGCATTAATTATCAAACATGTAGTGAATTATGCCGTTATTGATGTGTGAATCCATAATGTCTCCAGTCGTAGTTCAAGATAACTCTCCATTGGTTCATGATTCGGTCGTGTCTTCAATAATATGATTATTCATATACCCGTATTGTAAAGTGTTACCATTTTTCTTCACTTAAAGCAATCAACACACTCTCCAGAATAAACTATGAGTGTTTATCAGAGAGCTGTTCAAATCACTGACACACTCTTAATATGAAGATCATTCTTCATCATCAGATGTTTGAGTGACACTATGTCCAGTATCAGGAATAATACAGTATGATCTGTGTGTATCAATACACAACTCTGAGATCACAACGTGAATGTGTGCAAGAATAAACTGAGCATGTTCAAATCAACTCTTTCCAGACTAATTCCACTAAATGTGTTTAGAGAAAATACAGATTTCTTTACCTGTGAGAAGTGAAGAGAGAATGATCAGTCCCAGCAGACACAGATCACACTGATCAGACATTTCTGCTTCTGTCCGTTTCTGTCCGTCTTTCTCTTCAGTATATATAGTTACAGCTCCTCCTCTTCAGTATATATAGTTACAGCTCCTCCTCTTCATTTATATATAGTTACATCTCTTCCTTTAAACATCATCAGCTCCTCCTCTGGTTGGTAACTTCCTCTTGCTATGTTTCCATCACCCTGTTTTTATGCTCATTTTGAAGTATCGCACCAGAAACGAGTGATGGAAACCCCAAATTTGTCAGAGAAAACAATTTCATCATTATGAAATATAGTTGTTTTTAGGTCACCCAATATAGTGTCCTCTTTATAAATATAAATTAAATAAATTAAATAATTTTTTATTTACACAATCGTTTGGCATAACATCAGATATTGTGTTGCTTGTTCGGTTTAATTTACCATCAAAAGCACTTTTTCGAGCATTTCGGTCACACTTTTTTTATTAAGTGACTTATGTACTAACAACTATGTACTAACATTGAAATTAGTCATTTGACACAATGGACTTATCGTGTCCATACATGTTTACATTGTACCTGCATGTAATTACAGCTGTAATTAATGTATGTAATTGCAATTGTAGTTACACTGTTGACCCATTCCTTACTAACCCAACCTTAAACCCACTCATACCACACACACCTGACCCTAACCTCACCCGCATCACACCTCAAGAGCAGATAGTGTTTTACAATAGCCTACAACATGAACACAATAATAACTGCTACTATGTTCAAAGTTTGTGTACACACTTGTGTGTGTGTGTGAGAGAGAGAGAGAGAGAGAGAGACATAGAGTGAGACAGAGAGAGAGAGAGAGAGAGAGAGATTTCCAGTCCACAAATCCCCTATTCCTCTATTCCCCGCGTCCTCACGCTGCAAAGAATGACGATCCTGGAGTGGCCTAGATCTGGATTAAAGACAACGGCCACACATGGACCATAACTGGCTGAGAGGAGGCCGTGTGTGTGTGTGTGTGTGTGTGTGTATTTGCTAGAATATGTCATCATAACCTTCCTCTGATTGGGTAAGAAAAACATTTCTCCATCTGCAATTTTTCCATTGGTTGTTCCTCGCGGAATCTGCCCAACAACACCGATTTCATTGGCCTTTTACGTAGTGGTATTGTGCAACTGGGACGTGTGCATATTCACAAGCCGGGTAAGTTATCACTGTTTTCAGCGGAATCTGAGGAAGACCGCACCTCTCTATCATTAATACTTTTTAAGATAGTTACACATTTGTAAAAGTATACCATTTTGGGCGGTACCGGCCAATCCATCCCCAGAGGGTTAAGCATACCCAAGCAGCGGTCTCGAACCCAGAGGCTGCCCTAACTGTTCTGGTCTCCCTACTAAGATCCGTGAAAGGAGACTTACAGTGTCAATATCAGGAAACAAGGACCCTTCCCCTCTCAGACTCAGCCCAGAGAGGAGCCAATTACCGGAGCCAGATTATGGGTGGAATAATCTCCCTCTCTTTAGAGATGCCCTCGCGGGTATAGCGGAGGAAGATGATGATGGAGATGAGGAGTTATCCCCTCATCTTCCAGACGACGATGAAAAGGAAGAGGATTTCAGCATCTGCGTTTCAAAAGATCTACAAATCCACTGCTTTGGCCGTCAGGCCGTCTTTCTGATAAGGGAGTTTCTGGACGCATCACTTACAGATTGGGGGGCGTTCGAGGGCAGAACCGTGCGGGTAGTGTGGTCACAATCTCAAAGGGCAACATGACATCATGACTTTTGCGTAAACATACACGCCAATTTCGAGTCAAGTGGCGTGTTATCTCGACGCATTTTGAGCTATCCGCGTGTATGCGTGTTTGTCTACGCCATTAACGTCCGCGTCATTCCGCGTGTCCGTACACGCCGTCAAATGTCCGACCAAAACAAAGCAAAATGTAGATCTACATCTGGGGAGCAATGTTTCTAGGATGGTAAGGGAACAGTCATAAATGCCATTAACCCCAGTGACGGTTAGGTTTAGGGACGGGGTTGAGGTAAGTCATATATATATATAACGTTAAGTCAACGGCGTTCATAAACACGCTGAAAAGCGATTATGCGTGTTGATAGCACGCCAAAAATGGAAATACGAATTGGCGTGTCATACACACGCTACTTCATGAGATCAGTCTGCAAAGGGAGAAACACATAAATTACTTGGAGTGATTAACAGTGTTGCTAGCGCTAATCCACTTTATTCAGTTCCTTCAGGGATATCATGTGTTGGTCAGATCAGACAACACAACAGTGGTAGCGTACATAAACACACAGTCTAGCGCAGAGACTAAAGCCCAATCTACACTTCTGCGTCAAACTCATGCCGTAGCTACGTCGTATGCTGTGTTTAGCACGTACCCTTCGGCGTACCCTGACGTGCACCTCTCAAAAAATGTAATAACGCATCAATTCTAAGCGGATGCGAGTGCTGTGATTGATCCGCTGGAACCCCTCCCCCTCTGGTGCTCCCTCTGCATGTGTAATTGACCTATGGCTAAGCCACGCCCCCTCCAATCACTCAGACAAATAGTCAACATTCGGGAACAGGCGCTATGGCAGCGGTCACAGTAGGAGACATTTCACAGGAGGCAATTGGTGATTTTTGGAAGATTTCGAAGTCACCTAAAGGGCCTTAACTATGCATCGGAGGGTTATAATAATAATTTTATTGTTGAGAAGGTCGATGAAAAGCTTCAGCTCGAGGCAGAAACGTACAGGTCACAGTGTAAACGTGATAAACCGCATATCGTTGCCATCACCGTTTAGTGCTACAGTACATCAATCATTCAGCACAACATTGCTAACATTTGTTATCTCAGTTATTTACAGATACGCTAGTGAAGCAGCTAGAAGCTAACGTTAAGGTTTTTTAATGTTAGGCTAACGTTACGTTAGATTTTAAAGATAGCGTTCAAATACGTTGTTGACTTAACTTAGATCAGATGTAGACATCCTTGTTTGATTTATCCACGTTTAGTTGGTGTTGTTGTCTACCGCATAACTTAATCTTATATCGGTTGAGATGTGGCTTGGGAAAGGGTAAAAAAATACACACCGTCGCCCAGCCTCTCGGGAACATAGTGTCGGAGCTGCATGTACCCCATACACACCGTTTGACCATTTTAAACTTAAAATAAGAAAAAATGAATGAAAACTGACTAACTGCAATACATTTCAATGGACGTGGAAGCAGAGAATGTCTGAGTGTATTGGGTTAGCTGCACACTGTGATTGGCTCATCGCGTTTGGGTACGTGGCTTAGCCATAGGTCAATTGCGCATCAACACGGACAACGACGCAGAAGTATAAATGAAAACCAACGAGTAGTCTATAGGTCCGACGCAGAAGTATAAATCAGCCTTAATTATTTCATCCTGACCCTCACAAGATAGCTCTCTGGGCTTGGCCAAACATGGATCACTTGCTGGGTGTGGGTGTGTGTGCATCATGAAGCTTTTATTAGGCTACCAATTTTGTGCTACTGAAACCACAACTTCCAGAGTTTCACTGACAAATGAGTCATGATCACACTTCATCTATATATACACAGCAAAAACTCCCGTGTTAAATTAACTCTTCTATGAATGTATTTTAGACCACACTCAAAAGTGTTACAATAAGGGAAAATGTCAAGGGTCGTGAGCCTGAACTAAACAACCGAGAGAAATATATGTCTACTACCTCAGATTTAACGTTTGATCTGAACATCAGTATCGTGGAATAACATAATCTTACTCACGGATGAGAAAGCCGTGCAAAAACCGTGAAGACTTCAATGTAAACACAGCTTTTGTCTCGAGTGTAACGTCATAACACACGTCTCTTATTCTTATTCTGTTTCCAGTTAAACACCCTGGTGTTGTCCACTTTAGGGGTTTTATAGAGGCATATAAGAGCATGGGTGTCAACAGATATGAGATTTCCAGGAATCCATCCTTTATATAAGGGATTTTTTTACACCATTTTTACATTTTAGTTTAAAGGAGAACTCAAGTCAATTTTAATATTGAGCTCTTATTTTTTTTTTGGTAAATGTTGAGTGTTGTCAGTACAGAGAACAACGACAAAAATTGGTGTTGCCTACACTGTTATCCTCTTTTTAAAATGTGCAACTGCTTTTAGCCTCAGTGATTTTGGCCATCGGCATCCTCATGATCCATCATCCCACTAATCTAACGTTATTCTACACTACTTGAAGTTCAGACTTCCCGGCCGCTACTTTTCCCTCTTCCTCCCGCCCGCCACTACAACAGTCTTCATCTTCCTCTTTTTTAATAGTAGCCTAAGCTACTGTCTCTATACTGCCACCTGCTTTACCGGAGGTCTAGCAACCCAAGTGCAAGCCACTTCACAGACACAGGTAGTTGCGTGTTCTGAGTTAAAGGGTTAGTTCACCCAAAAATTAAGTCATTAATTACTCACCCCCATGCTGTACCAACCCCGTAAGACCTTCGTTCATCTTCGGAACACAAATGAAGATATTTTTGATTAAATTTGAGAGGTGGATCACTACCACATTGGCTTCCTAAGGGACTGGCTCTTGACGGCCCAGAAAGTCAATGAAGAAAACGTTTAAATATCCCAAGTGACTACCGTGGCTCAACTATATGTTTATCAAGCGACGAGAATACTTTTTGTGCGAAAAAACAAACAAAAATAACGACTTTATTCGACTATTCCTTTTCTTCCTTGTTGGCCTGAAACGAGACTTCCTCAGATTTCCACGACGCATGCGCGAGAACTGAACTGAAGTAGTTGAAGGAGATCGCAATTCTCGCGCATGCGTCGTGGAAATATTTTACGGGAAAATACTCGAACAGGAAGACAGCGGGAAAAGAGCTAAAATACGTGAGAAACACAGCAAAAACGGGAGGGTTGACAGCTATGGTCACAACCAAGACCATTAGTTACCACTTTCAGTGTGTGTCTGTTCATACAGCATATCTGCAATACGGGATTGGTCTATATCCCTTAGTGAGATACCGAACGGATGTTATAAAGAGAACGTTAGGTTAGCGTAACCTCGGTTCTCTGATACCAGAAGTGATGTATCTCACCTCACCGCCCTCCAAATAAACTACACTATGAAGAAGATATGTGTGGTCTTGGACTCGAGACCATTTTTCTATGGTCTTGGACTCGCTGGTATTCGGACTCGGACTTGTCTCGGTCTCGGCCACTGGTCTTGCCAAATATGGCTTTTGGTTTCGACAGAGTCCAACATTTTTGAAAGTGTGTTCATTTATTAGGCGAGCCTATCAGGGTAACGTTAACTTAGAAAATGCCAAAATTAACCGACCAAGTGCTCACTACAACGGAGCGCGTCTTCTCTGTTACTATAGTTACTAGCTAACGTTACTTAAAAATCCTGGGTGTTGCGCACAATTCTAATCATTCCCGCAGATCTCCCACTTATAATGCGGGATATTCCCACAATCGTAATCCACACAGATTATACAATCAAATCATTCTTTTAATAACTATCTGCCAGACGCAATTTCACAAACATCGTGAGTGTTCGGCGGTGCCGTTTCTTCTCTTCTCTCAAGATGTGTTGTGGAAGGCGCTGCTGCGATAATACACACTCGCGTTCAGGAGTCGGGACATGACGGAATATTCACTTGCACAATCGGGCCAGCAGTGCATCGTGAATAAAGCTTACCATTTGCACGTCTTTTTAAGTCTTACTAGTTTAACATTCAAGCAACGTTAAACTGTCAGTCCTCGCGCGCTCTCTGGGATGACTTTGAGCACATTCATATCTCACAACCAATTCGTACGAGTGATTCAAAAGTGGCTAATTCGTACTAATTCATACGACCTCACTCGTACGAATTCGTACGATTTGTCTAAACCCACGTGACGGTTATGTTTAGGGGCGGGGTCAGGGGTAGGTCATTCGTACGAATTCATAAGAATTGGCTAATTCGTAAAATATGTACGATTTAGCAAAATCGTACTAATTCGTACGAGTGAGGTCGTACGAATTGTTACGAATTAGCCACCTCGTAAAATTCATACGAATTCCCGTGAGATCGGGTTGGAAAATCCGCCTCAAGAACAGCTGCCCAGTAACAAAAGTTATTTTTCACGGATTAGCTATATTGCTTTAAGACTCAAAACTGGGTCAATTTCGGTCTTTGTGAGTATACTCTTAACATAGTCGGATTTGTCTTTAATAAGCATAAAACGCACGCCAGTATAATGAACACAGGATCCGTGCACTGGCTCTTAAAGTGACAGCAACCATATGTGTCGGTCATTAATTTTGTCATATAAACAACAAAACAGAGCTTTAAGTTAAAGGAATCAGGATTGATAGCCTATGTGTTTAATTTATTTAGGACTAAAATACTATCCAGTGTTATTTTCCATTTGATTACTTTATTCAGTTTCTGTCTATGAATATTTCTTAATATCTTTATTTGTATCTTTATTTTATTGTATTTATTTGTGCAACTTTTTAATTGAACAATTCAAGCCTTGCGTTGTGTAAATTCTTAACATTACCCCACTGTAAAAATGCAATGAGTGCAAAAATTTAGGCAAGATAAATTTAATAATTTTGTTCGGCAAAAAACGAAATTCAGGCCCTGAAGACTTTTTTTTCCCCTGTCCTGGACTCGGTCTTGACTCGGACTCAAACCTTCTTGGACTCGACAAAGGTGGTCTTGACTACAGCCCTAGTAGATGATGCAGTGAGTTATATACCAGGAGGCGGGACTCCCTGATCGCTGTAGCGATTGGCCTTTCAGTCTGTAATTGGTGCTTCCTCTCCATATTTAACATTAAGATTTAGAACTGTTTTGATTTATTATACAAACTGTTATTAATGTACTTTTAGATGAGAAAGATTTAGATTTTCATTCATTATTCATTTTGTTTTCCTTCATGGTAACATTTTATAGTATTCCTGCTAATGATTTGTCCATGATAAACCTCTGATATTACTTGCATACTAGTCATAATCTGAAAATATAGTACACATGCAAGATAAGCTTTAGTGGTGACCTGTTGATATACAAGGTACATTGCTAATCTCTATACCCTACACACTAGGGTAAAAGCACAAGAACACAAAGAATGAAATGGCGACTATATATGTAGACAATAGTTTTATTAGTTTAAATTAGTCAAAAATGTGTACTTGACACGACTGCTAAGTTTTCGCTCATCTCCTCACACCCAGACCACTTCCTCTTTAATACTTAAACTCTATTTATACATTGATTTATTAAACACACCACACTTCTTCTTTACATTTCCTTGTATTTGTACATACATACCTGTACATACCATCTATTGTCTATTTTTTGGTATATTGTTGTTATCTAATTTTTGTTTATTGTGTATTTTACCTATTCTGTTTTTTAATTGTAATATATGACAACAAACTGTACAAGACATGTATCAAAATATCATTGACTGACAAATTTATTAAAATAGCTTTTTATGTAGATAATATCTGTGATGATGGGGTGGTGATGGCGCAGTGGATTAGACACATGCCTTTGGTGTGAGAGACCCGGGTTCGAATCCACTGTTAGACACCAATGTGTCCCTGAGCAAGACACTTAACCCCTAGTTGCTCCAGAGGCGTGCGACCTCTGACATATATAGATATTGTAAGTCACTTTGGATTAAAGCATCAGCTAAATGAATAAATGTAAATGATAAAGCAGTCTGTAAGAGCCAGTGCAAACCACTGAAGCGAGAGTGATGATGTGTGCCAGTGGTCATGTGATCATGAACCTTGTGTAGGAGCTGTTGCTGTAGTTCTGCTTGATGTCTTCTCAGAGTTTGATCTGCTGACTGGAGTCAGTGTTGTTGAAGAGACTGGAGCTGCAGAAGATGAATGTTCACACACATCACCTGTAGGACATTAACATTTATTAGCCTTGTAATTCCTATAACAGATCTCCAACATGGGCTATACTAGACTTTAATAGGCTCTTTTGATTTATGCAATATTCATCATCATCATCAACTTTTTATTTTAATAATGTTTTAGTAAATGCTGAAATTAACAGTAATTATTTAACTAACGATACCTTATTGTAAAGTGTTACTGATTTCATGATAGCGAACACTTTCATGCTTATAATTCATACATACAGTTTACAACATGTCTTTTTATCTTCAGTTGATTTCATTTAAGACTGTGGCTGAAGTCAAATTGTAGTTCTTGTGTTTCTCTGTCCTTTAATGATTCTGCTTGTTAACAGCAGGTGTTCATCACTAATGCTCAATCATGCTCAACAACCCCAGTAAACTCACCAGTATTTTATTGTAATATTGCAGGCATCTCTATTTCCTCTGGGTGCTTCAAGTTCTTCCTCCCTGCAAAATAAAAGCATTGACTGTCCTCTGGTATAATTCAAAATAAAAGCATTGACTGACCTCTGGTATAATTTAAAATAAAAGCATTGACTGTCCTCTCGTATAATTTAAAATAAAAGCATTGACTGACCTCTGGTATAATTTAAAATAAAAGCACTGACTGTCCTCTTATATAATTCAAAATAAAAGCATTGACTGACCTCTGGTATAATTTAAAATAAAAGCATTGACTGTCCTCTGGTATAATTCAAAATAAAAGCATTGACTGTCCTCTGGTATAATTCAAAATAAAAGCATTGACTGACCTCTCGTATAATTTAAAATAAAAATATTGACTGTCCTCTCGTATAATTCAAAATAAAAGCATTGACTGTCCTCTCGTATAATTCAAAATAAAAGCATTGACTGTCCTCTCGTATAATTCAAAATAAAAGCATTGACTGACCTCTCGTATAATTCAAAATAAAAGCATTGACTGACCTCTGGTATAATTTAAAATAAAAGCATTGACTGACCTCTGGTATAATTTAAAATAAAAGCATTGACTGTCCTCTCGTATAATTCAAAATAAAAGCATTGACTGACCTCTGGTATAATTCAAAATAAAAGCATTGACTGACCTGTCGTATAATTCAAAATAAAAGCATTGACTGTCCTCTCGTATAATTCAAAATAAAAGCATTGACTGTCCTCTGGTATAATTCAAAATAAAAGCATTGACTGTCCTCTCGTATAATTCAAAATAAAAGCATTGACTGACCTGTCGTATAATTCAAAATAAAAGCATTGACTGTCCTCTGGTATAATTCAAAATAAAAGCATTGACTGTCCTCTGGTATAATTCAAAATAAAAGCATTGACTGTCCTCTCGTATAATTCAAAATAAAAGCATTGACTGACCTCTCGTATAATTTAAAATAAAAGCATTGACTGTCCTCTCGTATAATTCAAAATAAAAGCATTGACTGTCCTCTCGTATAATTCAAAATAAAAGCATTGACTGTCCTCTCGTATAATTCAAAATAAAAGCATTGACTGACCTCTCGTATAATTTAAAATAAAAACATTGACTGTCCTCTTATATAATTCAAAATAAAAGCATTGACTGACCTCTCGTATAATTCAAAATAAAAGCATTGACTGTCCTCTCGTATAATTCAAAATAAAAGCATTGACTGTCCTCTCGTATAATTCAAAATAAAAGCATTGACTGTCCTCTCGTATAATTCAAAATAAAAGCATCGACTGTCCTCTCGTATAATTCAAAATAAAAGCATTGACTGACCTCTCGTATAATTCAAAATAAAAGCATTGACCGACCTCTCGTATAATTCAAAATACAAGCATCGACTGTCCTCTTATATAATTCAAAATAAAAGCCTTGTGTGTGTTTATCATGATTGCAGATGTTCAGATCAGATGAGTGTGAATCTTCAGAGTGTGTGCGGCTCAAACTCACCAGCTCTTCTTGCACAGATGATCTGAAGAAGAATCACAGTAGGAGCAGCAAACAGTGCAATCTCAACAATACTCACAATCACTGCAGGAAACATGAGAGGAAGAAGAGAAACTGGACATGACTGAAGTCAAGGGTCTTCATCTATCAACAGTTATTGATGAAGCATTTACAGACTGATAGTGTAATTGTGGCGAGGGGGCGTGTTTCGCAAAGTCTACAGCGGGAGAGAAAGGGCGGAGCCGCACAGTGAGTAAGTAGGTCAAATGCAGATGATAAACACCTGTGTCTGATTGCAGTAATTGCTGTGGAGAGACTGCATATAAGCCGGCAAGATTGAGAGAGAGTGGGAGAGAGTTGGACTGGGACTCAAGGATCTGCTGGCCATAAAGAGTTGTTGTTTATCTGCTGTGTTACTACATTAACATGGTGAACGCGCTACTGTGCACCCTCTTCTTTTGTTTATTTTCTGTTCGTTTTAATAAAACCTGAGACCCATTCACGCCGACCCTGTCTTCTAACTTCTACACCCACCGAGCCTCATCACACTGGTGCCGTAACCCGGGAAGGAATAAGAACGGCGCCGCCATCATGCAGACCCCGCCAGGAATAGCATTTGTGGATAACATCCAGTCGCTCGCGGGTCTTCACCAGGAACAACATTGAGCTCTGCTGGCTGTAAAAGAGGAACAGGACCAGTGCTTTGAATTGCTCTTCTGAAGTCAGCAAGAAGACCGCGAGCTGGATGGACCGGGAGATTCGGGTCGTCCCCTTTCCAGCTGCGGCCTCGACCCTGCCACTACCTCTCAACAAGATGGGCCCCGAGAATGATCCAGAGGCCTTCTTGGACCTGTTTGAGAGGTCTGCCGAGGCCCGGGGATGGCCCTCAGCGGACTGGCCAATGCGGCTTATTCCCCTGCTGTCTGGAGAAGCGCAGCTAGCCGCACAGTAACTGCCAGTCCAGAATCTCCTGGTCTATGAAGATCTTATGGGTGCCATACATCAGCTGGTCGGCCGGACGCCAGAACAGTACCGCCAGAGGTTCAGGACACTGGGCCTCGAAGAGTCCTGTCGGCCCTTCGTTATGGCACAGCAGCTCCGGGACTCCTGCCGCAAATGGCTGATGGCCGACAGAAGCGACATCGAGGGAGTCATCGACAAGGTGGTACTGAAGCAGTTCATGGCGCAGCTCCCGAAGCGGACAGAGCAATGGGTCCAGTACCACCGCCCGACATTGCCGACCCAGGCCATCCAACTGGCGGAGGACCAGATGGTGGCGTGCCCCGGGATCGGCGAACCCCTGCCATCTGCTTCTCTCTCCTCTCCCCCCATTACCCCCACTCCTCTCTCTAAACCTGTTCCCCCTCCCAGGTCTCGTGGGGGGCTTATGCCCTGGCCATCGACAAGATGGAGAACGGGGACCACAGAAGAGCTTCCTAGGGCCCCTTCTCGGGGAACGGCTCCCTCCACTGCCACTGCTCGCTCCACGCCAATTCCTTGACCCGCTTACTGCCACTGGGCCAGATACCAGTGAGTATCAAGGGGGGTACATATCAGGCTTTGGAGGATTCAGGGTGTAACCAAACCTCCATTCATCAAAGCCTGATTCTACCTGGGGCATTGGATAATAGCCGCTTGGTTAAGGTACGGTGTGTGCACAGGGTGGTGACTTATCCAATATTGTCCATGGGAATTCAATTTAGGGGTCAAAAACATAGGGTTGAGGTGGCCGTTACCCCGCACCTCCGGCATCCACTAATTCTGGGGACTAATTGGCCTGCCTTAAGAACATTATTGGGGAATTTGTGTGCGGATGCCTCTTGGGGAAAAAGAATAAGGATAGGAGGTAGAGGTTCAGGTGGGAGAAGCTGAGCTGGTGCCACTGGGTGCCACTGCAGGGGAACAGAGAGCTCTAGAGAGGACCATCCTGAATGACTTTCCCCTGAAGCAGTCCCAGGATGATATGCTGAAACATGCTTTTGACCAGGTCCACCTCGATCGACAGCCAGCTCCTTCACCCAGACCAAACGCTCTCTTATCCTTATTTTCCTATATTTATCGGGTGACCCCAAGTCTACAGCGGGAGAGAAAGGGCGGAGCCGCACAGTGAGTAAGTAGGTCAAGTGCAGATGATGAACACCCGTGTCTGATTGCAGTAATTGGTGTGGAGAGACTGCATATAAGCCGGCGAGATTGAGAGAGGGTGAGAGAGAGTTGGACTGGGACTCAAGGAACTGGTGACTGAGAGGAAAGGATCTGCCGACCATAAAGAGTTGTTGTTTATCTGCTGTGTTACTACATTAACATGGTGAATGCGCTACTGTGCGCCCTGTTTTATTTTGTTTTAATAAAACCTGAGACCCAGTCATGTCGACCCTGTCTTCTACCTTCCACACCCACTGAGCCTCATCATAGTAATGTTATAAAGCTGTCAGTATAAATGAACGTGTCATACCTCTGTATAATAATTCAGCAGTTTCTGAAGCTGTATCAGCTGGACCTGTGGATCACGTCTGTTAGTTCAGTTCAACACACAACATCAGCAACACACAATAATGGAGCTTCACATCAGAAATGATGAATATGTGCACAAGTCTGTCATCATTTTCTTTCTTAACATTCAAATGCACAAATATTGAGAAATCCTTAGAGGTTGATGTGTGTGACAATGATCATGTGATTTTATAGAAATTGATATGGATATCTGTATTGATATCTTTACTAAATTATTGTGACATGATTGTTTAGGACTGACTGGATGAGAATGATGTGTCTGACATTTAATGACAGGTACTTTTTGCGGGATTGCAGGTGATGTACAAGAGAATGGAATTAGAAAGTTATGTAGATTACAAACTAAACGCATTTAATGACAAAAAAATGTGTGATCAGCTGTTCGAACAACTCCAGAGAGGATTCAGAAACTGATTCTAGAAAACTCCATGAGTCGGTGAAATGAGGATGATGTTCATACACACCTGGATTCAGAGAGCTTGCTGTGGTGTCTGGAGTCAGTGGTATTGCTGTAGTTGATGTTACAACTATTAAAAACAAGATGGAAACAGAAATATGATTACACAATGTCAAGGCATTTATTTGACAAACTGCTGTAGTGTAGAGCTGCTCCGTATCTGGCTGTGTTTACACTTGGCATTAACATGCGACCTGTATCTGGATGTTGTCCACCACACATTGAAAATACAAGTGTACACACACTTCTGATGGGAATGTTCTCGATCAGTGTGTCGAGGTTCGGAGTCGAGGACGCATTGTGATTGGATCTCAGTTTAATGTAATTCACAGGTGGACGTCATATAAATCCATATTCCCCTCGTCTCTCCAGGAATTGCTGCACGTAGATGTGTGGTTTCGCGATACAGTCGAGTGTGAAGTACATCGCAAATATACTGAAATGATTGCTTTTATTTTATGCTAAAGTTGCATTTTCCCCACCACAGCTGATGAAGGTCGTGAGACCGAAACGTTGTTGAATAAAAAGTTTGTGATATGCAAGTTTGGATAGTGTGCGGGATCTTCTATTTGCCCCACCACAGCTGGCGACGTTCTCGGATACGTTTCTCTGTACCGTTTCCAGTACGCCATCTATCCACATTCTTAGTACTTGCAGACTCTTCATCCTCCTCATGTTGTGAGATTTGTAAAATGTATCCTGACTGAAACTGTTTTTAAAAGAAAACCCACCAATTCAGGTCGACTTTGCACCGGAGCCATGCGAGATCCGATCTGTTATGACAAATCTGACTAAAGAGCTTTTTATGTAGATAATATCTGTGATGGTAAGCCAGTGTGTGAGAGCCAGTGCAAACCACTGAAGCGAGAGTGATGATGTGTGCCAGTGGTCATGTGATCATGAACCTTGTGTAGGAGCTGTTGCTGTAGTTCTGCTTGATGTCTTCTCAGAGTTTGATCTGCTGTCTGGAGTCAGTGTTGTTGAAGAGACTGGAGCTGCAGAAGATGAATGTTCACACACATCACCTGTAGGACATTAACATCATATCTTCACAATGATCATGACATGCAGTGTGTGTTCAATCATCACAGCTTACAGTGGCAGTAGTTGAGAAGAGAGATGTTACTGGATCATTTATTCCTGGTTTATATGAGAGTGAAACACAGTTGAGCTGCTTCCCATAAACCTTCAGCTTTCCTGAATGAAGGACATTATTAAGCCGTATAACTCCTAAAGCTGAACTCCTACATGGGTCATACTAGGCTTTAATAGATTTATGCAATATTTCATGGATGACCCATATAGGAGGTTAATATTGGGAATTATAAGGAATTTTATGCAGTGTGACTTACGTATGAACCAAACGTATGAAGTCATCATAAAGAGGAGAGCCAGTCTGTGGAAGTTTTCTCAAATCTGTCTTCTAACAGTGTTTCTCACCTGAATACTTGACAGTGTATGTGACTGACGTCTGGAGTTGATTTCTGCGAGTAAGCTGACATCTCCACTCTCTGTTGTTATCTTCATTCAGGAGTGTTGTAGTCAGAGTGATGATACAGGGATCTTGACCTGATGATGATGGTGATGATGATGATGATGATGATATCTGATATCTGGAGTCTGTCTTCAGATCAACACCAGCCTGATTCACCCACAACAGCTCAAATCCCTCAGAACGAACCCAATAATCACAGGAGTATCTCATATATGAATACAACTGACAGGAGAGAGTCACAGAGCGGCCTGGACTGATCTCAGTTTGTGAGGATGAAGATGATGATGAAGATGATGATGATGATGGAGACACTGAAACTGAACACAAGACACAAATCACAGACTCTTCAATCATCATCTGAGTTTAATAAAGAATCTGCCCTTTTTAAATTGACCATATAATCATAAACTTACCATGAAGAACATGCAGATAAACAGGTGCATCAGATCCTTGTTGTGTGTCGTTCACATATTGTCTGCAGGTGTAAGATCCATAATCTTCTTCTGTGACGTTCTTGATGTTCAGAGAGCAGTCAGACTCCAGACTCAGTCTCTCATGTCTCTCTGTGTCTTCATTCTTTATCCCTAATTCAATCAGTTCAACTGTTGGAACTCTGAATCTGTTATAGAGCCATACAGTTGATTTGCAGTCAGAAAGAGTTTTATTACAGGACAGACGGACATTTACACCAGAACTGATGAACACATGATCATAATCCGCTCCACTGGTGCCTGAAACACAGTAAAAAAAACTCAAGTGAAACTCGGTGATCATTATGATATTTATTAATAAATTAAACCATAAACCGTACCAGCATAACAAGCAGAAGAATCAAATCATACAGTATTTCTCCAGTAACGCTTTACAATAAGGATATATGAATAATCATGTACTAATACCTGGATTTGCTAACGATCAGTTTTCCAGCCGGAGAGAGAACTAATTAGTGGAATAAACATATGGGAGGACTTTTACTTTCTGACCCTGGACTTTACATCTCTGATTAAAAGCCTGAACTAATCATGAACCAATGAAGAGTTATCCTGAACTACGACTGGAGTCATTATGGATTCACACATGAATAACGGCAGCCTTCACTACATGTTTGATAATTAATGCATTCATCAACATTTATAGATAAACCTAATCAAACCGCCTCATATTCTAAAAGGAGGATCAACTAATCCTGTGCCGTCCAGTAATGTTTATAACAAAGCTGAAATCAAAAGTTAGAGCTATGATGATATTACATTATTAAATTTGCTTCAAAGTTAGGGTACTTGTAACACGTTGTGTTCGGAGGAATGGATTGCTCACTTAGGCCCTGTCCCAAATGGTGCATGTGGACTTTCAGTCTTGTAGACTTAAATTGTACCCTTGAAGTGGTCTTCTGTGAAGCTCCACACACTTTAACTACCCAGAAACCCTTGAGAAAGGCCAATCAGAGACAACGGATGGGAGGAGATTTCGCTCATGGACAATTGTTAACATGAGAAGAAAATATTTAATTTTAAAGTGTAACTAAACCCCTGGTCAGAGCCTGACTCCACCCACTGGCAATATTTGATAAATGCGCCGGCGTGTTTGTCGACCCCAGAGGATTAACTTTAGCCAAACCATAAATTGTGATTAAAATATACGTGATCACTCACATCAAGACGCGGCTGCGGTGGTGGAGTCCATGCAGGATGAGCATATAGAGTAAATAGGAATATAAATGCTATGCTAAATAGATGCTACAATACTCTATCCTGATCGTTTTCAATACTCGTCATTCCAACTCTTGACTCGCAGTGGTTTTGACGAAACAAGATGATTTTTAAACTGCCGAGGACGTGGTAGCTCGTACCAAGGGCGTGGTGAGCTGGAATCTGCGTATATGTCAACTCTGCCCGCGTACGTCACGAAGAACCGCAAAACATCCAATAGGAAAATTCAACTGCAGTAGCCACCGTTCAACCTGAAGAGGGCAGCACTCAGACGTTTTTACACCATATATTGTTTTTTTTTTTTAATTATAATTAAAACACTTTATACACAAATGTCAAAAATTTACTCGAATCAATGATCAGCATTAAAAAAGCCCCATTACTATTACAGACATTGTTACGGCCTTTGGCCTGTTTTTGGTCGTTCCCCTGCTCCTCCTCTCTTTCAGGCTTAATTGCTAACACCTGGGAAGATGGTGCTTTAAATGGGAGCTTCTCCGCTGTATGGCTGGCTTTTTCCTGATCTGGTGGCTGAAGACTCCGACGCTGCTCGGCTAGCTGCTTCAGGCTTAGACCTCGCTCGATGCGCCAGGATTTCACAGAGATGCACCTTTAAGTTTATCTGAGTTGATGTCTTTTATTTTTACATCCAACATCTGCACACATACACACCTACAACACATCCCAGCACTTACTTTACACTGCTGATGCTGACATTCATATCCCATGATTAATTACGTTGTTTGTATTTGCGTTCGATACACAATAAATTTATGTTTGGCACAATTTGTTTATGGCATGGTCTCCCATTGATTGTTATGGCCTGGAGTCAGTCGTAACAAATGGGGGCTCGTCCGTTTTTTATTTTGCGTAGTGCGTAAAATTTGATTTAGTAATATGTGTATGAGCGTTTAAGGGCACACGAGAGTGAGTGTAGCTCGTAGTAGCTTCATCTTGATTGGCGGTTAAAGGGGGGATCCCGTGACGTCAGTGCCCTTATATGGTTGTTGCGCTCTGGGAGACGTGCCTGAGTTTGATTAGTTCTAATTTGTTTGCTGGCGTATTCGAGCGGAAGAGTTTGGGCGTGTGTTTTCAGCAGTAGTGGCTGTTTTTTTTCTGGAGATGCGTGAAGGTAAGTGACAGTTTGTTAAAGCACAACTAAGTTTTGGGCTGGCGTTTTTCCTTGTAGGCATAGCAGCGTTTCCCAATAGGGGGTTCGCTGCATTGTTGTTTTAGAGTGGAGGTACGGCGGGTAGAGCTTCCCATTTTCCTTTTCCCTACATCGGCTCGGGAGCATTTCCGTGGTTTCAGCGGGGTTGCCAGCTTGCTGGTCACCTTTGTCTGACCATCGGGATATGAATGCATAAAAACCCACCGCTACGCCTCACGAAGACTAGGGTCAGTAAGTTAGCTTCTGTGATAGGTAGTTAGCGGGAAAACGCCGTCCTTGGGTTGTGCTGATAAATTTGTCATTTAAGCTTTGTCTCTAGTGGATTTGTTAGCCATGGATGAAGTGGTGGAGGATTTTATTGAATCGCCACATGAACGGGGATTAGATATTTGTACTAAGAAACAATTAATTAGAATTGCGGAGTATTATAAGGTTGATATAGGGGATGCCCGAAAGACAAAGGATTATGTTAAAGGTAATTTGGCAGCAAAATTGTTGGAAAAGGGGGTCTTGTTGAAAGGTAAAGTTGACACTTCTCTGTTGGGAGGAGCTAACCCGGTGGGCTTATCATTTGAGCAGCAGAAAGAGTTGCTTTTGTTGCGTATTAAAGCTGAACACGAGAAAGAGCAGGCGATGGAAACAATGAGGCAGGATTTGGAGCGGGAAAAGTTAGATGTGGAGAGACAAAGACTGGCGCTGATTAGAGAAGGTAAGCTTGAGGGTGCGGCACAGGTAAACATTAAACAGGATGACCTGAGTGATCTGAGATTTGTTCCCAGGTTTAATGAGGAGGACCCAGAGACATTTTTTTCCTTATTTGAACGTCTGGCAGAGGTTCGAAGTTGGTCTGATTCCACGCGTATGTTAATGTTACAATGTGTATTAACCGGAAAAGCACAGCAGGCATTTTCAGCATTGAGCAGTACCGATTGTGTTAAATACTCTGTGGTAAAAAATGCTGTTTTAAAAACGTATGAACTTGTGCCGGAGGCGTACCGACTACGCTTTCGAGGTTGGAGACGTGGCGATAAGTCACACCTAGAGTTTATGCGTGATTTAACTATGCATTTTGACTGTTGGTGCTCAGCGGCCGGGGTTGACTCCTTTGAAAAACTCCGTGAGTTAGTTATTTTGGAGCAGTTTAAAGACTCTGTGTCAGAGTGTATCGCTACGTATATTAGTGAGCGTGGAGTTAAGTCGATTGGTGAAGCTGCTGCTCTGGCTGACGATTATTTTTTGATTCATTCTTCAAGAGGTGGCGCTGGTCCTTATGAAGCAAGGGCAAGTAGGCAGTTTGTGGATAGGAGTGGTGTTTCAGGGGATTCAGAAAAAATCTGTAATTACTGTCATAAGCGAGGTCACTGGAAAAATGATTGTTATGCTCTTAAATCTCGTCCAAAGCAAGCTTTTCCTAAAGCTAATCCAGCTATGTGTGCTGTGTCTGTTGCTGGCCAGGAGGTAGGTGGAGTCACTGAAGGCAATCTGGAGTTGAAATCTTATTTGCCTTTTATTACGGAAGGTTTTGTGTCTTTAAAGGGAAGTAAAGAGCAGGTGCGCATAAAGATTTTACGTGATACTGGGGCGTTTGACTCATTTATTGTAGCTGCAACATTGCCATTTTCAAATGACACCTTTGTGGGCTCAAGCATCCCTGTTGTTGGAATGGGGTTAAATGTTTTGAATGTACCACAACACAAAATGATGCTGCATTGTAATCTCTTCCAGGGCGAGGTGTCTGTTGGTGTGCGTCCAGCATTACCTGTGGATGGTGTCGCTATGATCCTGGGTAATGACATCGCCGGTGATAAAGTATGGGCTGACGTATCTCCGCCTGCCAGGGTGACGGTGACTCCTCTGGAGTGCAGTAAGCCTGATGAGAGTGAGGTACACTTTCCTGATGTGTTTAGTGCCTGCGCAGTAACTCGGTCAAAGCATGTGGACGGTGATCAATCTGAAGTTGTGGCCTCTGGTCCTCGCTTACTCTTACCTGTTGTTCCCTGGTCTGTTTCTCATGATGAGCTATTGCATGAGCAGGAAGCTGACAGCACTTTGAAGCCTTGTATGGATGGGTTGTGTTCTCCTGCAGAGGTCGGAAGTCATTCTCATTGCTATTTTTTACATAATAATGTTTTGATGAGGAAATGGACGCCTCAGTTTGAGGGTTTTGTTGGTAATCCCATTTACCAAGTGGTTGTTCCTTTAAAGTATAGGAACACTGTGTTGCAGATTTCCCATGACCAGTCTGGACATATGGGTGTCAGGAAGACATATGACCGAGTTCTGCTGTATTTTTTTTGGCCTCGGTTGAAAAAGGATGTCTCCGCGTACATCAAGTCATGTCACACTTGTCAGTTGACAAGTAAGCCTAACCAGATTTTGAGGCCCGTTCCACTCTGTCCAATACCAGCTATCAGTCAGCCATTTGAACATCTTCTTATTGACTGTGTTGGTCCATTACCACCATCAAAATCAGGTTCCAGGTATTTGTTGACAGTGATGTGTCAAAGTACTAGGTACCCTGCCGCCTACCCATTGAGGAGTATAACAGCCAAGTCTGTGGTTCGTGCATTGTCCCAATTTATTTCTATTTTTGGAGTTCCACGGATCATTCAGTCAGATCAAGGGTCAAATTTTTGTTCAAAATTATTTGCTCAAGTGTTGGAACAGTTGAACATAGTTCATAATTTTTCATCTGCCTATCATGCTCAAAGCCAGGGTGTTTTGGAGCGCTTTCACCAAACACTTAAGTCTATGTTGCGCTCATTGTGTGTTCAGATGCAGGGTGATTGGGAAGAGGCTTTACCGTGGATGTTGTTGGCTGCTAGAGAGGTAATTCAAGAAAGTACAGGGT